TCAAACTCCATTGTACTTTAGATGTTCCTGAGAAAGATCAAACTATGACTAGTCATTCAAATCGCAGATTTAGTAGTATTCCAAAGAGCACCAAATTTAGATATCAATTATGCAATATCATGATATCTGTTATATGTACAGTGTTACACATCCAGGAATGTACTTGTTAAGTAAGAAGTGGTAATTGTGGGAGACTTTAATGCCCCTCAAATAGATTGGGATAAACCATCAGAAATGTCGGTAGCTCAAACTGAAATGATACTCAATGCTATCAATTGATCCCTTCATCAGTTTGTAAAAAGATCTAGTAAAGAAAACATCGAGATAGAGAAAACCAGAGGTGGCAGAACCATTAGGGAAATATGATCAAAAGATTGTATACTTCAAAGTGTACTTAGTACCTTGTAAGAGGGCAACTGGATCTGTAGTGTCAGTTAAGGGCTTAAGCCACCAGATGTAACAGGATCTCCCTGTATGGTAGCCGAGCGTGTGGAAATTTTGCCACATGAAACCTGTTTAATTTAAAATACAACCATGTTTCCCCTATGTTTCAAGTAGCGTTGGCAAGTACCTTGTCTTGGTCGATTCTGTTTGGCCGGGCTCGCTCCACACCTGTCTTCTTTTTACCAGACACTGTAACGACGGAGCTTCCCCTGCCCTCAGTGACCTCAACCTTTTTGTCTAGGAGTCTCCCTACTCCTAGCCTGCTCACTCCTAGGAATTTATAACAGTTTTTCACAACTTTCCTGTCTACCTACGGGATGGAGGTCCCTGTGTCTCGATCAACCACAGTGGACATATTGTACACTGACACCTCACTGCAAGGATCTGCCCCTAGAGCTATCTGTAGGGTTGCTCAACTCCCTGCAGGAGTGTCCTGGAACCTGCCCCTTCCGGGGTTTGATGTTAACTCAGGGTCTCACTGTCTGTCTGGCGTCTCACTCTGAGACCTGGTTTAGTCAGGCTCCCCATGAGCTGAATTCAGGAGCAACCTTCTGTTACTTGCTGCTCACTCCCTTCCAACTGGCTTCACACCAGTGAGGCCATTTCTTTAATAGCCTTATGCCTATGTGATATTAATGCATTCCTGCATGCATCTGGAGTGTCTATCCACTGCCTTCTGGTGCCTTAACCGCTTAACTGACACTCCTGATCCATTTGCCCTCTTACATACTGGACCCTACAAAGACCAAGTCCAAAACTTTACAACAGCGAAATAACAGCAAACAATGAATAAATAATATATATGAATTTATAATATAAATGAGAAACTTCATATGTAAATATTTTATTCACTGTGATATAAAATTTTATTTGGTGCACATTAAGGAAGAAAGCAACATCATGCCTTAGGCTGAGCAAAGAAAAAGTTTCATATTAAACAGTTTTATAGTACAAGAGACCTACAGTAAGCGTTAGAGTCACTTGAAAAAATTAAGATAAATCTCCAGGAACTGAATAGATTCGCAAAAACCCAAAATATGTTATCCACCTGCTATTTTTCTCTAAAAGTCTAACATTCTATCCATCCATCCATTAATTTTTCTAGCCACTTTATCCAATACAGATTCTTGGGGGAGCAAGAGCATATCCTGGCAAGCAACAAGCGCAAAGCAGGATACACCCTGGACAGGACGCCAGTCCATTACACAGCAGACAGATCTGCATACACTCACACCAGGGCCAATTTTTCCATAAGCCAATTAAGTACAGTATGTCTTTGCACTGTGGGAGTAAACTGGGGTATCCGGCAGGAACTCATGCAAACACAGGAAAATACACAAACTCCACACCCAGAAGCAATGCTAAGCACTGCTCTATCCGGCCTCCCTCTACCAAATGTCATTCAAGAATGTTCTGAACAATTTTGAAGAGGCAAGGTCTAGATTAATTAACTTGCTAGAATTTCTGGAATAAGGAAAAATAATGGATTCAGGCAGGACACATGGTATGGTGTACATTTTCAGAAGGCTTATGATAAAACATTTTACAGATTCTCAATTTTGAGATTGGAATTGGAATTATAAGATAAGTACCACAGGGATCTATATCAGGACCACTACTCCTCCTAATTTATATAAATCTGCACTCTGGTATATTTAGTTAACTAGTCGTTTTCAGATGATACCAAGAAAGGAGGATTAGCAAAAATTGTAAAGGAAATGGAATAAAATATGGACAAAGGAACTTTGAAAAAAAGATTTAGATGGAATTTAACACTGGGGAAATCTCTGTCAGATAATATTTAGTGTAGGTAAGGACAGAGCATTATACAGAAAGAACAAAAACTACAAAAATAGAACAAAAACTATGAAGTGGACTGATTCAAGCATTCAGAATCATTAAGGCTACTCACCAATTTAACAGCAAAACATAGTTCTGGTGTGTCTGTTCCCTTTTTCCATTCCTTGTTACTTCCTTGTAGGAAATGACTTAAAGTGTGAAAACAAACCAAAGAGAATGTGTGCCTGTGAATCTTCATGTGCAAAGCAGATGTTTGCTCACATAACACATAGAGCCAGAACCAGATGAAGACATCAGAGTGGCCTAGACACATCAGCACATGTTGACCTCTAATTTTATATTAATAAATAGCTACTCACATACTTCTTAAAATGTTGTAACAAGGCAAAACCATATTACAAGCACCAGTACAGTACATAAGCAATTAGGTATATGAAACTTACAAATTCTAGGGGAAAAAAATGCAAAGTTTTTACTTCAATGGCATTTCTGCAAAGTAGCTATTAAAAAAGGCAATATAATAATAGTTTGACTTTTAGCTCAGATGTCTGCAAGTAGGATTTCTTCTGCACTGGGCATGAGCAACGTTTGCATTGGCCCAAGCAAACTAGGGCACATTTCTGTGTACATCATACGCAAATGATGGGGGAGTTTATACACTGATAAACATTGGACACTTTTTTTAAACATCTTTAGAAGTAGCAGGAGTGTTTTTCACCTATTTGCACTGATACTTCATTTAAAAGAATTTTATGGAGCTTTTACATACTAGAAAATAAAAAGCATTATTGTTTACCAACTTGAAGTGTTGTTATAACAATTTGTACATGGTCAAAATTGAGTTGAAATAATTTCTGTAATAGTTGTTATGGGAAATTAAAAATAACCCTCAAACTTTATTTTGAATCTTCTTTTACTAAGACTGTCGCATTTACGAGGAAAACCATTTTCTCTCTGCCTCTCCATCTACAGCACAGTTTGAAAGTCACTAGTAATTGATTTATTGTAATTGTAATTGTCTCTGAGCTTGTAAATAGGCACTTAAACCAGTGCTAAGCAAATACCTTAACTTCTGGTTTTAAGTTAGTGCCTTTAATTTGATATATAGAAATATTTACAGAAATATTTTAATTTTTGAATAAAAGATTATGCTAAAAGCATAATAAAAAGGTGTGAACATGTGCGATCAAAGGTAAATTACTTTTATTATTTCATTTACAGTAACTTTCAAGGAGGATATATCAAAAAGGAATACAAAGTAAGTAAAATCAAAAGTTACAGTAGTATGTCTTGGGCAATGGATGTCCAGTAATGATCCTGAAGGGCCACTGAATTTCCAAGGTCTATTCCAAATGCCCACATCTTGCTTCCAGATGTTGGATAATTATCCCAACAATTATTGAGACAACCAATTTCGATTATAAGGAGCTGAGTAGAAATAAAACTTCAAGACATTACAGTGCTTCAGGACTGGACACCCCTGTCTTAGATCTCTAGTAGAAAGCACAACTGTAACTAAAATAAAAACAAGATATTTGTTTCTGCTGAATTTATGAAAGTTTTGCATATGTTTTTTCCCCCTTTCTGTGCTTGTGCTCAACTGAATGGTAAAAGCTGGCATTCTGACTCAAGGAGGTCAATTTATTTTATTTAAAAAAAATGAGAATTGCGTTGTTATTATTTTCATGTTTTGTTTTTTAGTCTGCAGCCGGGCTTTGATGTCAAATTCCAAGTTTGACAGTTTAAAAAACAATGCCTGTATTATTAATGATATCTGAACTACAACAACATGAGCAAAAGTTGTATTAAGATAAAACAGACTTTAAAATTTGTTGTATTTTTCTCTCGAAAAAACTGCTGTTACCCAATGTTATCCAAGGTCACATGATTCCGATGCTTTTTAATAGGTATTGTTAACAAGACTGAAATGTGTCAACAGCAAGTTCAGAGACAAATATGGGACTGTATGGCTGAACTGTTAGCAATTATCTGAAGTAAACATATAGGTACATTACAGTAGCATGTTACCCTGAGGAAATAGATTCTATTTTATACGCATTTTTTCAATGCAGAGGTTATTTTGAAGCAATATATATTTAATACAATGTGAAGACTGTAAGTGATACGCCAAATAATGATATTCAAATTCAAGTTTCAGAATCTGTTTTTGATCAATACTAATTCATGGAAAAAAACACAGCAATCAGTAAACTTCTAGACAGAGTTAGTCAGGCCAAAAACAGCTTGCCTTACCATCTGCTTCCTGGTCCTGAGAGCTTTACATTTAAATGCTGTCACTAAATTCTCACCAAAAAATGGCCCAAATCTGCCTGTAGGAGAGCTACAACTCAATGCACACACTTTGTAGTAGCCGAACACGATATGCAACAGGATTCTTTCATCCATTTGCTCTTGTAAGTCATGCAATATTTATGGATAAAGAGCTTCAGATTTTATTTCCCACAATTGATTTTAATAATGCACCACTTTCAAACATCTCTGTCTAATCATTTTATATATGAATATAAAGTATGTTTTATGTAGATCCATACTTCTATAGTGTTATATGTAGAATGCATTGCTCAGGATTCTTCTCCCTTAACGTAACTCTCATTTAATGCAGAAAACTGGAAATTTTGAACTAATGCTGTAGCATATGTGTGCACATGTGCACCAGAATCACATAGTTTTTGGTGAAGAGATGTGTTTGCGAGAGTCAGGGGAAAGAATTTTAAAAAAGGAATATGGTGTCCTACCAGAAGGGGGAATGTGGTTAATTCCAGATGGCTTCAAAAGTTCCAAGGGCTGCTCTTTGCTAGGAAGTCCATCTGTAAAAGAAAAAAAAAAACATACACCCTCATATTCTGTACACAGAATAGCAGAAATGGTTGCTACTGGTTACTGACAAACTGGGTTCTGTGCATGGCATTAATACTTGCACCAAATTCATATTTCATCATATTTTCAGATTTTAAATCAAAGGAAAAAGACAAGTTTATATCCAGGTATGGCAAAGCAAATAAGAGAGAAAGTACAGTAGTTGGTGGACTTAATCAATTCACACGCGAATGTTTCACGCATTATGGAATTGAAATTGCAGCGGGAAATGGACAGAAATGACAAAAATAAAAGAAGGGAGTATAGGTACTTTGAAATTTGTCAGCAATGTCCATGTTGGAGGACACACATGGAAAATTAATATTTTGATGCATTGTTAGTTTGCTAGAAAAATAAAAAGCTTTGAAAGAAGCTGTTTTTGAGTCATGTATCGGGTTAAATACCTGCCCCCCCACCTCAGAACGCACAAAAGATATACAAATTATATCTAATCATATAATCAATATATCTTACAGATTACAGTCACAATGAAGAGTGATAAAGATAGTTAGCAGCTAAATGTGCAGGTCTTATACTTACAGTACAGGAAAGGGGGGAAAAAGCAACCTTTATCTTCACATGAAATTGAGGGGTAGGATTTATTTTTATGGACAGTATTATTGTGTAAGCCTTAGCGGCTAGACTACAATTACAAAAAGCTATTGCAAGACCTATAATAAAACTGAGTGTAGAAATATCCATCGTGATTTTTTTTTCCATTATGTCCTTGAAATAAGGAAATATTTCCTTTAAAATACTACATATTTTCCAATATATCTGATGTTTGATTGCTAAATATTTTAAAGAGTAATTCTGAAAGAAAACAGACATAATACCTTCCACAGCAAAAATTAATTAATTTAATTCAACCTTCATCAAATGTTGTACTCAGGGGTATTTTATTAAATCATAATATTGAAAGTTAAAAAATAATATTGAGCAGCTTTAAATATGCATGAACTGCTTATTTTCTAGAAATGTGTTCTGTATGAAATCTATTTTTCATTCAGCATTTTCAATAGACAATAATATATGTATGGATTCTGACAAACTGGGAGAATATAAGCTTCTGTTTTGTGTAGAATCTTTCATAAAAGACATGCTCTGTGGAGATTTCACGTAAAAAATCACCTAGTAAAAATTCACTTCAAGGAGAGAGTAAGCCACTGCTGTGAAAAAGAATGGGAGTGTCTTTGAAAAGTGAATTTGTTTGAAGAAATACGATCAAAGGAGACAAGAACAGAGGATGAAAAAAGATTAACAATGACACTTTATAAGACAAAAATTCACTTCATGATGTATCTCAAAAACTTGAATCAGTATGGCTAACACTACTCAGTCCATAACAACTGAGCACGAGGTTCAACAGAAAATTGGGCACTCATTTGAAACATTATTCACATGCCACCCTTCAAAGGAATAGGAATCAAACCACATTTTTTGCAATATAAAAACTACATTCCATTTAGAGGGCAAGGACATGGAAGTCCTGTAGTGCCTGTCTTAGAAGTGTAGAAACTTCATCTATTTAAGTTTCTGAAAGTTAGTTTACAGATGGTGTCCTAAGGAGGAATACTACACTGGATGGACCTTTGCAACCATCTAAGGTACAAGTAACTGCAATACGATGAGTTTACCATAAATTACTTGCATAAATTAGGAGCAAAATATTACAATTATGTGAAAAATCCATTAAAAAAGAAAATTCACCACAGTGTGGAAAAAAAATGAAAAGAGAAAGATTTCATTTTACTAATTAAGAAAATGGGAAAAAAAATACATTTTGGTTCTTAAATGTATCTGCCAGCAATCTCAGAAATTCATGCCATGCTGCTGCCATATCACATACAGTATATTACCACCAGATGCATAATAAACAGCACAATTCACATTGTGAACAAGAAAAACTTTACATTCATGTATACCTTTGAATGGGACCAGTTGTGTCAAAGTGCTCACTGCCAATTAAAACAGATCAGTTCCAACGTTCTTACTCAGTTTTTAGAGTACTTCATAATTCACCAAACCACGTTGCACTAAGCCACTGGAAAATGACAATTAACTATGCACGATACAAGAACATGCTTTTTTTTATTTTAGCCATCAAAAAAGAAAATAACAGTTTCTCAAATTCTGGGTACAGTGGTCCAGAGACTATCCCAAGAAACACTGCATGCAAGGCGGAACAAACTCCAGACGGGCCATCAGTCCATTGCAGGGCACAGACAGACACAACCTCACACAAACACAAAACAGGGCCAATTTTAGCCTGCAATCGGTCAGAATGTTATTGTACTGTGGGAGGTAACCCATATGAACATGGGGAGAACATGCAAACTCTACACAGATAGCATCACAAGAATTCCACCCAGAGGCCCAACGTGGCGAGGCAACAATGCTAACCACTGTGCCACCATGCCACCCTTACCTCTAAAGATGAGAAGAAATGGTTAAAATGTTTCTATTACTTTTAAAAGGGTTGAGGGGGAAAATAGGCACTCACACATGCTGCACCAAGTTTAATCATTTCAAAGCCACCACTAACATGGTATCCAGGTTTCCAATGAAAACAGAGCAGTGTTTTCACAGAAAGCCAGTTGCTGCCGAATTGGAGACAGTTTGGCCTGGAACAAGAGTGTCTCTCAAAACTGGGAGCTATATTCTCCTGCTCACGCTCAGGGATTACACCACCAGCCTGGCTCCATCCTGACGTTTGGGCTAGCATGTCGTGCATGTCAGTCCCAGAAGGAAGAGTCTGGACACTTGATAAAAATAAGGCTCAAGAAGCTGTATAAAAATACACAGTAACTCCCTCAATAAGGTGAGGGTAGTATGGAGTGTACACTTAAAATAGTGTACCGTATATCTTTCCAGCTTAAGTATACAAAATATTCCATCAACATGAGCAAAGAGATAAAACAGAGACAGGTGGGCAAAAAACAGGTCTGGATTTATTCTTGTGTGCTTGGAGGAAACAGAACTCGTTTCCACTCTTTTGAACATCTGAGATGTCTAAGCCTTACTTTATTAAAAAAAAAACATAAAATATATATAAAAAATAGCAAAACCTTGTAAAAAGAAAGATTACTGTACCTTACTTCGTTTCCTAAGAAATACAAACAACTGAGCATACATTTCACAGTGCATTACTGTAAGTATAAATGTTACTTTTACATATATACAGTATTGTTTTTAATATTCCTAAAATATGAAAATATCTTTTAGATCTAACTCTACATTAATATATTATAATTATATTTTCTCATAGGGACAAATATTACCTAGGTGACATTACCAAAAAAAGAAAACATCACTACCACAAAACCTTCTGACTGTATACAGTCTCCAACATGAAGGGAATTCTTCACAAGCCTTTGGTATTACATCTGGGTGTAAAGAAGACATTAAGACAAAAATGGCTTCACAAAAATCTGTCTGTAAACCTCCAATGAATATACTACTATTCGTATGCTGGCCAGACTGAAAGTGCCGTGTTTATTTTTCTGCACAAATATATTCAGTATTAGGCAGCTGTGTATGACAGAAGACCAGAAGTCGTGGGTGCTGTATGCTCGGAAAAATGACATTTGAAAGTATAAAAATTCTAACAACTTTTCACACATCAATACCTATAAAATATGTTTCCATAAAAAGAAAACATGTAAGGAACAAAAAATCTGGAATGACCATGGCTCGCAAAAGATCAATTAATGTAATATAATTCCAATTTTTGGGGGGTGAAACAGTTTTAAGACAATCACTTAAAGATAAGCAAAATGCTTTGCTTTTGTTTTCTTTGCCGCTCTATTTTGAGATCATGCAGTGAAATGTACACATAAGCCATCATTTATACATAACTGAGCATCAAAAATTAAAAATTAATAAGAGCCTCCAAATACAATGAAATGAAATGTGATGCTTTTAAGCAGCACACCATCCTCAAAAAAAAAGACTCGCTGAGGCACTTGCCTCTTTAAAAATGTGTATCCAGCCAGGTCACGTTTGCAGTGAGTCTCACTCAGGAATCTATTTTTGGAAGTCTCTCTGGACCAGACGGTACTGCTGCCTGTACCGTAATGGCATTTTAATTAGCCAAGAGAGTTAGAAGATACATGTGCAAAACAGAAGAGATTTTAAACAAAAAAGGAAAGACGGTGCCATAACAAAATGAGTATTCTTAGCTGTGCCATTTCAGACAATTTTCTGTAAGTACCAGCGACTGCACAATAGACTAAATACTTGCCTAGCGGGGCTTTTTTTTCTTAAATGCAGAGTTTAAAGCTTATTTGGGATACATGCTGCCTGCCTGATTTTGAATCATTACAGGCATTTAAGCTTAGACTGCCAGGGGAGGTAAGGAAAGGAAAAAAGTCTGCCCAAACATTAAAGTGGCTAATTCTTACCCATCTGCTTTTTCTGTGCTGGTTAGAGTTAAAAGAGACCAAAAAGGGAACTAAGAAATGTGAATTTATTGTGAACATGGTTCTTCTGCCTAGGATGATCATTAGATAATTAGAAATTCAGCAAAGTGCAACAATAACTTCAACTTTCTCAAGAATGACAAACCACAAGGATGGACCTACTGTTGCTAGAATCTTCTGTTCATTTATGGGAGGAGTACAATGTTTTCTGCATACACATGATTTCCTGCTTCAGCCACAGAAGTGCAGGGATAGGGAGGGATGCTTATCTAAAGGTAAATATGTAACCAAACTGGATATGGTGGTACATAAAAGATTTTGTTAAGATTACGTTCCTTAAGAAATTCAACAAAGGTTTTCCGTGAAAGAAGCCGGGAGAGAGATCACCGTTAAATCTTGACAACACACCCTTTTGCCTTTCACTGAAATTGAAGCTGCTCAGTTGTAGCCAGCCAGCTTACTGCTGCATCATGCAGCCAGACAACTGTACAACCGAATGACCCCCTTAATTACCCATTTCCCTGCCAATA